TATATTTTCTTTTTATTTGTTATATAATTTATATAACAAATAAAATCTATACTTCTCTATGTCCATTATAACTTTTATGCGCAATATTAAATACAGTTTTAAAATAAAAACATTTAATTCGTTTTTGTTTTACCGTAAACAATAGTTGAATCGATTTGTAATAAATCCTACAATAGCTTTTTATGCTAAAAATATTTTGAAAAATATTATATTCAAACGGAAATGCGTTAATATCTCACAAATTTAAAATCATATATCTGTTCTAATTAACTTTATCCTAAATATCAATTAAACAACAAGCGAACAACTTTTATTTTGATATAATATATAAATATAAATATAATTATGATATATTAATTATTAATAAAATTTTTATTTCTAATCTTAAATATAATTTCGCTAAAAGTGAAAAGATCAAATGAATTATTAATATTTAATTAATTCTATTCTGCGCAATATCCTTTTTTCATTTTCAAATATTAAAAACGAACAGGCATCCTTCAAACACCGGTCGCTCTCAGCCCGACGTAATATCGCAACCGAACGAACGCCTTCACGAGGATATTTATGAACGCACACCTACGAGAAAAATGGTTCTGCAAAGACAACATTCGAACCCGCAACTGCCTAACAAAACGCAAGTTGATGATGATTTCAAGCGATTGTCACAACCAAGCATCGCGACGACCGAACCTCGATGCGTCGCGCAAAAGGAAGAACAAATTATTCGACAACAAAATCCAGTGCCTTCCATGAGGCTCAGGGGAATCCAAGGACCCCCAAAACCACCCCGAATTATCACCACTCTAAGAAGAGCTGCTCTTTCCGACTCGGAATGTAATAGCCAGACGGAACCGCCGGCGAAACCTCCCAGGTAATTTTTTCCATTTGTTTGTATTTACGTAGTTAATTATCTGAGCGTAAATTCACTGTACTCTATTAAATCACTAAATTACGATAAAAGAAAGAAGAAAATGAATTATTCTCTAAAAACTTAAGGTAACGTTGTTATTTATTATAACAAGAAAATGTGCATTTCTGTAGCAATTTATATTTTCTGAGTCGCTACAAGTCGTTCATTTTCTATTCGAATAAAATTTTCATCAATAATTAATTTCGTTCGAAGCGAGGAGAATGAAAAAAGAAAAGGAAAAAGAAGCGTTTCTAGTATTTTCATTCCCTTAATTAAATTTCCTTTTATATATTTAGTAACAGTATTTCTCTCCAAATAAAAAAGTAGAGAGAAAAGTCAGCTGTCACGAGGTTTCAAAGCTCTCTTGAAGCAACACTCATATATGGCAGTGTCGTGCGAGGGAGAGCGAATTCGCAATATTGTATAACATCAAATTACGAGACGAAGAATCTGGAAATTTATACCTATTTCTCCCAAAATTCGTACTTTCCTTGCGGGAATTTCATCAATCTTGCGACGAGAGCAGACATTAAATTAGAGCACAAGAAGAACGTTAAACAGTTCCGAGATGTTCGCGTGCGACCCGCATTATTAAGTTTTGTCTCCCAGTCATATGTTCGCGTTAATAAACGCTTTCGATGGTACCGGGTTCGTTCTCGCAGAGAAGCGTGGGCCCTCCTCAACGCAAACATCAGTGGTTTCGAAGTGCACAGAATATATTCAAAGCGCGTGAAATCAACTGGATGATGCAGCCAGTTGCAAGGTAATGCATGCTGGTCGACCATTCCGCCTCCACGTTAGCCGTGGAAAGGTCGAAACGTGACGCGTGACGGCGAACCTTTGACCTTCGCGAAAATTGCGAAGTACTAGATTTTACGATGATATTTAGTCCAGCAGAAATAAAAGAAAAAAGTCCATGTAATTAGTCGGCAAATTGATATTAATTGTTATATCTAGAAATTAAATCGTAATCAATGGGTAAATTAAAACTGCCTTTGCGACTCTAACACATAAAAGCGGTAAAATAATCATTGGAACGATTTTCAGCGTGAATTCAATTCCGGAAATATCAGTAGAATATAAATGTTACTTGTCACTGTCAACATTCAAAATACTGCTCAAAGCAAAATTTAAACGATAGGTCTTTTTATAGATGCCTTTGAAAAATCGGTTTAATAATAAATGTATTTTTTGCCAAATATTGAACTTTTTTTCAAAGTCACATTTAATTTTTAAAATTTTCATTAATAATTAATTGATTAGTTGATTAATAAGTCATATTGCTCTGTAAAATTTTAACCTGCTTATTTTTTAAAAATGTGGACGAGAGCAAGTGCATTTTTTTGCACTTTTTTATGTCAACCATAGATTATTATTACTTTCTCTCAAGGGCATTATATCCTTAACGCATCGTAAAAATGGATTCGGCCTCGGAAGAATCCGTGACACTCTTTTTCATATCTCGTTCTCTTCATGCCAAATTAATACGAACGGTAAAAGATGGAGAGAAGAGAAGAACAGATAAAGAAAGAGAGACGAAACAAGAAGGCACTTAGCGATGACTGCTCTAAAAAAGCATCCGGAGTCTACCCTAGTTAAACTTTAATTAAACTCGGCGCGAGAGTTAATATCACTGCATATATAGCAGATCGCGTTCCACGTCTCTGCGAAATTTTGCTATAAGCGTTTCGGTCCGCTGTATAATTAAGTATATCGCGGACATCTGTTATGCCGAATGAGAACTTCTACTCGACTCGATCCATATTAATCACATGGTCACAGAAAAAACGAATCGCGAGTTCAGCCTTTTCAATTTCAGCTTATCAACAACCGCAATCAACATTCACCTTACACACATTTTACTACGTTTTTTCTATAACTTATATGTTTTTATATATAATAAAAAAGTTGACCTGTTAATAATTTGAGGAAACTGTGAAAAAATATTGTTCCAGAATTATGGTGAAAAACGGACCAAGAGCTCGGCGGGGAAAAGCAGTGCAAAGAGCACCATCGCGCCTGTATAGAACGGTTGGTGGACCTATGAGATGTTTCAATAAAGCGCAATGTGTAGGTCCTGAATTTGTCGTTCGTGCCAATCAGCCCTCAAAAACATTGTGCGTGGGTCAAGTCAAGGTATGAAAATAAAAGCAAATAATCAGGAACAGGACGTTAGATGATTTGGAACTTCCACTTGTTCTGATATATACACACGCACATACATTTTTAATTTATGATTCGTCATAAAATTATCAAAATTACACAAAAATGATTATACAAAACATTTTTAGTAAAAATGTTCAAATCTCCTGCGTCCTATTCACTTTCTATATAATCATACTGTCATTTTCAAAAAACAAACCACTTAAAAGATAAAAGAATTTCGATAATTAACCAAGCAATTTTCTTACAAATGTAAAATTCTACAAAAACTGCAAACAAAAAATAATTTCCGGTACCGGGAATCGAACCCGAGCCTCCTGGGTGAGAGCCAGGTATCCTAGCCACTAGACCATACCGGATCACGGTATCATGACTAATCCTTGCTGTATACATGACATGCTGATCAATATATTTCAAAATATATATTTGAAATTGTTATATATTATTAGATAAAATAAAATTTATA